CTAGCCCAAGGAACTCCAAGAGACCATGTAAAATCAGTCCAGCAATGTTGATTAGCTACAACCTCTAGCAAGAATCTTCCCAGACTGAAATCCCAAGTAATGCCAGCCACAACATTGTGAATTCCTCAGGGAGGTGCCAGTCGCATCCTCTTATCTCTCCCTCGCACCTCAGGAGATGAAAGAAAATGTTTTTCTCCCTGAGTCTGGCCTTCATAATCCCATTCCATCACATCTCCCACTATAAAGTAACAAGTCATTAGCTGGACTTATGCATCCAGTTAGGCATTTGTTTTAAACATGGGTTGTTGAATAAGCCACAATGACTGAATTCACAGACAACACATCAAATCAAACCATTTGTTGGCTTAGCACTATATGTGAACTGAATACCATGAGCAATCAGATTCTGCCTGGAGATCCACTCTCCTTTTTACTTGTATTAGCTTCCAGTAGAATTGCCTTTTATCTTCATATCCTATAATCACACCAGATCTCATCTTACATAATGGATTTCTTAAATTCACTAAAGGTAGCGCTTAACAGAATAAGAAATATTACTGCCTTGCTTTCCTCAGGCACAACGTTTGTTACCTGTATTATTTATATATGGGCTGCAAAAATCTAGACTACCTCTAGGTAGCAGCAGAGATATTGAAAACTCTATTTGCTACCATCTAGTGAATATCTGAAATTTTGCAGCCCAGTTGTGCTATTACAGTATTATCCATATATCATCAGTGTTAATGCTACAGAACCCTTTTGATATGACTGCTCTGGGGAATCAGCATTACTCTCAGAATAAAGAGAGAAAAGTCATAATTTAGCTTAACAGCACAAAAGAACAAATGAGTATATTTTTGTGTACTTGAACAAGGATGAAAAATAATACTGCTGTTTATTTTTCAGAGAACATTCATATCCTATCCAAAGCATTTCCACATGTGGCAAATTCCAAAATATGATAGATGCCAGGACTAATATATAGCACTCGGAATCAAAACTTATTTGTGTATGCAAGTTATTTGCATCAAACTTTGCTATTTTTCTCTAATAATGAGGATGAATAACTTGGAATCCACCAAGCAAACATGAGAAGTGATTAATGTTCTCCATTTTATTCCTCCACAATATCCATTGATAGTTTCTGATTCTCCATGGTGAAATGGGAGATCTCTCCTACACCAGTGGGCTAAAGATGCTATTTGAAGTATATTGTGACCCCCAGTGTTAATTGCTATAGATCTGATTCTTTACTCATATGGTAATGCAAGAAATAACTCCCACCCCCCAAACACAAAAGATTTAAAACTTTATTCCTTAATTGCTGTCTCAAAATAGAGATTTGTTTGTGTTCTTAGGTGAGAATTTTCACAATGTTTAAAGTCCTTAAATACTCCAGGATCTCGGATGTGGAATGCTTCATTTACTTCCATGATCTAAACCTATTTTAATAAAATCCTTTTAAGCACCACATGTTAACCCCTTCTTCACAGGAAACTCTATGTAGTATGAAATAGTGCTGTTGAAGGTAAAGAAATGTGTGTATCTTATAAACCCAAAGTGTCTGACAGGTAAACAATTTGATCCTAATTCTCTTCCTGGGCCCAGCACTAAAATGCCATGGAACTCAGGGAGGATTAGTGCTGAAAAGCCAATTGTTCTAGAATGTTTGGAAGTTAAGTTTCAGAATAAATATTGGTAATGGCAGCTTTCACTTTCAGTTTATACTGAAGTAACACACATTTTTTGTTCTGAAGCCACCATTGCACAGCAAACAAGGCAGAGATTGCTGGTCCCGTTGCCCCAGCAACTGGGAGGCATGTTATCCCTCTTCAAGAAGAGGGCAGTGTGACTTTGTTTGCCCTCACAGACTCCAATCAGTGGACAATTTGGATAGGGTGTGTGACATTGTGAGCTCCTCAGGGCCGTTATGGGATCCACAATTGGCTGTGATCACCACAAAGGCCCAAATGGAGATGAAAAAAATGGCACCAAGACAGAGGGAAATTGTCAACCCAGGGGCAACAGAGAGAAGCCACTTTCCCTCCCATATGGCAAAATTGCCCTTTTTTTTTTTCAAGACAGGATTTTCACACTGAAAATATTCTTAAATGTAAACGTGCAACTGTCCTACACGCTAGATATCTGTAAATATATAACTGTGTTTAATAGCTTATAGCCTTACACATATTAAGCATTTTCTGCATGATATAGCATTATCAAAAGCACCATATAAATTTTTTTTACGTGTACAATGGACATTTTTCTTTTAATAAAGTTGTTGCTAAAATAAGTTAGTATTAATTTTTTCCTATGATATCTTCCAAGCACATTGCTGGCATGCATTTGTTATTAATGGCAGTCTCCGTAACATTCTTACTGACCTCATTGTGGGGTCTGGCCTGAAACATTGACACGTTTCATGGAAATGGGACAAATGTTAAAAGAGGATATCATGTGGAAAAAAATACATCCTGTACTTTGACGAATGTGAAAATGGTGTTTTCCTCTGTTTCCATACGCTGAGATTTGCAAACTCTGATAACAGTTCAAAATATTGACATTATTTACACTGTACAATGGTTTCTATTCTCATCAGACCAAAAACTGCCCAGTAGGTAAGACTTCCTTGGACAACACAATGTATGCATGTACAGTATATGCAAAAGGTTGAGTGTCCTACAGTGCCTAGTCCCTATAAAGTGTCTACAATCCAATAGACCTGTACCAGAATCATACTTTGTAATGCACAATAGATACTAAAAGAGCATGAAATCACACTAATTTAAGTAGGTCTGACATTACGGTATGTCTAAAGGGAATCCTGGATAGGAAATGTTTTCATACACCTAATGTAATGTCTGCCATTGTTCTAGTAGCAATGGAGAGATCAAAACAAAGAGCAAAGGCTGAACAGAATATATGAAGGGCACAATTCCACAGGGCAAAGACCATGAAGGATGACTAGATCCAGACCCTCTTGGTTGATTTTGTGACTCTAATCAGAGAATTCATACAAATTCCTCCATCACCAATGCACTATGTAGAGAGAAATAAGCATTTGCATCACCATCAACTGAATAAACAGGAATGAATCACTAGTTTCTAAAAAGTACATTAAATTGCATTGCATAATGTATCTGAAACAGGAAAATCAACTAGGCAATCCTGCATTATGTACAGTAGGTGTAAGTCAGACAATCAGTCTCTGCATAATAAGGCATGGGGAGTATTTAGAAGCAAATGTACCTTCCTAGCTAAATTTATCAGAAATGGAGGAACCTGCTCCTTTGTATGCATTGGACTGGTTCTCAGAAGATGAATCAGGCTCCTTTAGTTATTTACTGAGATAAAATGTATGCTATCCTTAACAGTTCTGGGTAGCATACAAAGAACTGTACAGAAAAAATATCAATAAAAACAATCTTAGAGTGTAATAGATATAAAACCATTAGCAGCATTAAATTTCAGAAAATAAATATGCTTCAGTCCCCTCTTAAACTATAGGAAGAAAATGGAGTGTTCCAATTCCAGTGTAAGAGAGCCAGTTTGGTGTAGAGGTTAAGGTGTCAGGCTACAAACCGGGAGACTATGAGTTCTAGTCCTGTCTTAGGCACAAAGCCAATTCAGTGACCTTGGGCCAGTCACTCTCTTTCAGCCCTAGGAAGGAGGCAATGGCAAACCACTTCTGAAATCTTGCCAACAAAACTGCAAGGACTTGTCCAGGCAGGTACCAGGAGTCAAGACTGACTTGAAGGCACCCCCTCACAAAAGAAATTCCAGTGTAGCTCAAGCCTGAGCCCTGATACCAATGACACTCAAACTAAGGATGCTCTTGAATTTTCTAGCATGAAATCCGTATAGCCACTTGGAGTCTTGGTTTTTCTATGTCACACTTGGTGTTTTCCCTAGAAACCAGACTCTATATGATCTGAGATGCCAGTATGAAAGAAGTGAGTGTGTGGGGAAGAGTACCAGTAGACCAGAAATCAATCAACTTGCAGAAAGCACCAGCAGGGGTTATTTTCATGATGTAGAAGTAAACTTGGTCTGCCAATGTTTATGTATCAAATTGTCATTAAAAATTTGCAACCATAAATGGCAACTGAGAGCACACCTAGATCCTGCCTTGTAGCTTAAGCTATAAGTCTCCCCAAGCCTTCCAAGGTCAATACAATGTAGAACTAAAAGAAACATTTAGTCAACACATGGCTCATGCAGTGGCAGGAAAACACATCTGGATTAAAGAGATAGTAACCAGTGCTATGTGCGCACTCATACATACTTCAACTCATATTTTCTTTTTCAAATCCAGATCACTTATATTCCTAATATGAAGCATTAAATTCTTTACTTGGTTTAAATAATCAACCAATGTCATTTTATTGTTTTATTACATCAATACGCCTCAAGTAGATCTAGATAGTGGTTCTCCAGAAAGAAAACTGTGAGGAAGAATAGACTTAGAAGCCCAACAGGCTTCATGGTGAAGCTGGAATGTGAACACGTATCTCATTAATGCTAGTCCAACACTCTAACTCCAAAATCAAAAGTGATTTTAGTTAAAAACAGAGCCCACTGAATTTTACAAAGGCCTCAAATATTTAAAGATGACGAGAGGTGGAATTTTAACTCTGTAATACTGCTGTTTTTTCACTGTTATCCTTCTATTCAATTAACCACGTTCTCGTATCTAGTTGGTCAATGGCTGTGCCATTTTAATTCTAATCCTGTTGGTGGTTTCATTCATCCACACTGAAAAATTTAGAGGAATCCAATGAAAATGCCTATAATTTGCTAGTACCCACCACTAGTTCAGATGGATGTAGAGCTGCCAGGACCAGGCTTCAGATGTACTGTGGAACCCTTTGGGACTGCTGCATCTTGCTTACCTGCACAAGTTTCTCCATCATAGGTTTCACACACCCATTCGTGACATTCACACAGTGGCCCATAGTATTTGCCTGGCTCAGTCACTTGACAGATGCAGACCCCACAGTCACATTGGCCTCTGCCGCTGCACAGTTTTCCACCTGGAATTTGGCATCGGTGCTCTGACTCAGACAGGGATAGTCTGCAAGATGAGGTGCTTCTTAAACCACTCCTGAAGAGGATGAAAAGAATAGTGAGTTGCAGGGACGTGCAAATGGATACTACCTGTCTGCAAAACCAGCTGGGTTCATAGCATTCTTTCCCTCTGCAAAGAACCAGGTAATCTGAATTGGCCCGTGGATAAACCTTTCTGTCAGCCACACAGTTACTAAATCGGGCACACACTTCTGCTTCACCTCATCTGCAAATAAAGATAAACTATATCATAGGATGCTGTAAAGATTCATGAATAAAAAGACTGATGCTTACTAGGACTACACAGTGTTTTGGATTTAATTCCAGAATGGTGCTTCGGAAGCATGGGAACTTCAGTGTAAGGCTTGCTGCAACTTTTCAAAGCAGCCACATCTTCTCTCAGGATCATGGGACCTGACATAGCTGCTTTAAACAGTTGCAGGCAGCTGTTTTGCTTGTAATTCTACATGTTCTGAAGCACCTTGTGAGAACTGAAACTGAAGCATTGCACAGCCCTAGACTGACTCAGCCATAGAGAAATATACAGTGATCATCAGTGAACATTAGAACCATCATTAGCAAAAACTTTTGTGCAAGTTGCCCAACTAACCAAGCATATCATCTCTATTTCTGACAATGCATTTATGTCCTGTGAGCAAATTCATCTTTGAAAACTTTCTGTAACAATTTAATATATTGAAAAATATCAGCTTTTTATAATTAGAGCTCATCAGTTCTCCATCCCCCAAAATAATGTTTCAGATTGTTGTTAATGGGATTGGGCTTAACAGAGTGTGTCTAGATAAATGTACAACCAGGTTGTCATAACTTCCACACCATATTCCAGATTTTAAGAACAGAGTTAAACATTCAAGGCCATGCAAATGCCAGGCCATTTGTCTGGATACATTGCTAGTCCTCAAAACCAGAATTTTTGAAGACATGTGTGCATTTACTTATTATTGATTTTCCTAAATCAGGGCCAGAACTGCTTTTTAGCAGCCAGGACCATGAGTTTAAGTGGAATAGGATGAAACTGGCAGGCTTATAAATGAGTAAGGTAGGTTAAATGGAGATATTTAGAAACCCAAATACACTCTGGGAAGTCTCCTTTTGCACTCAAGGGGGCACTACATTCAAAATTCAAGGCCCAGTTCAGCCTAACCCCTCTGATTCGGAGTAGTTGATGTCTGTTGCACATCTCCGCTTCGCTGACAAAATGCACATCAACAGCTTTGCTTCTGCACCGCAAGAGGATTTCTGCTTAAAGTTACAGAGACAAGCAGCAGGTTGAAGACAAAAAAGAAAAGCCACATATGCACTCTATTTAACAGCACTTTCTCACTGCATCCTGTTGCCCAGACCTCAAAGCTTATTGCTAAAGTAGACTGATAGAGCTTACCGCAGGGACAAGGATGAACTTTGTGGAATAGCAGGCAACAAAATGAAGACCGAAGATGCGAATAGCAGCACCACCAAGCTGAGAAACCCCTTTGTATGCATGATTAAATCCAAGGGCGGCGATAAGAGTTCTCCTGGAGAGTTCAAATACAGAGAGACCCACTCGGCTCGCAATCTTCTGAGCTGGCCAAAACCAGCTCCTTCCCCCGCCGTGCTCCACCAAGTGCCTTTGATTAGCTGTCTGGAAGCTGGATTTGGGTAGCATCCTGGAAGGAAAGGCTAGTGCCAAGCCCCAAAGTTTACAGTCTAGGCTGGGAAGTAATTAGAAACAGTTGTACAGCCAGATGGCTTATTTTGACATAATAAAGTATCCTGTTCACGGTTTTGAGCAAACACTTTTGTTTCCAAAAGCCAGGCACCTTAAGAAGTTGAAAGAAGTCCCCTTGAGTGAACTTTGATGAATGGAGGTTTGTGATAGTGATGGTAAAAAAGATTGGGGATAAATATTGGCAGGGAAGTCTAGCAACACTCTCCAATTGTGTCAGAGTGCAGCATTAAGAGCACAGGTGAATGCTTCAAATTCCTTAGGGTAGAACAAAAGAGAGAAAGAGACTGGTGCCTTCCCCTCCCTCTTAGTCAGCAGAAGCAGTACATCAGAAGCTGCTCACGCTGACCTTCAGGATGTCAAGCTGACAACAACTCCAGTGTCAAAGCTTCTGCTCAATGTAAGTGATTTAATCAGTTTTCAAACATCACACAGGAGCAAAACCAGGCTTGTCACTATGCATTTACTTGACTGTATGTAGGCACAACACACAGCTCTGCAAACATACATTTCCTGTGTTCATAATTATAGCTGTTCCCCCCCCAAACACTTTTATCTTTTTGACAGGGAAAACAACCTATAAAGCAGTGGGTGTTCCCTGTATTTATTTGCTGATGCAGACATGGATGTGAAATGCTGAAATAACCAGCTTAGTCAGGGGCATTTTTTGGAGGCTCAAAAAGGTCAAGATGGTGTCAAAGCCCTGCTCCCCCTTTTTTGTGCATCCCACAGGGTTTAAATTGTAGAGTCCCAGCCCTCCTTCTGATGCTGAGCCCAGGAAAGAACAACTACAGTGAGAAGTTAGAGGAAACGAGTATAACCCAGTTACATTTCTCTAATCCTGGTTGTTTAATATGTTTAATCAAAAGGTGCAATAGCATTTTCCGTATTCAGCTTTTTCTTCATTAAATAGCAGCCACAGGGGATAGGAAATCTGAATCAGGAACTCATGAAAAGAGAGATACTCTAACTTCCTTTCCAGAGTTGTTGTACGCTGCTGGAGGGAGCTCGCTATTGGTGCAAAAGCTTGCTTCGCATGGTACACAGCAACTCTGAAAAGTTTATTGAAACTGCAGGAAAACATTGCCTTCTTCTATCCCAGACTAAAGTCCATAGACATTGCCAGAGTATACAGGAGGAAAGACCCTCCATGCTCTGCCCCCCAGATCGTCTCTTATCTTTTACTTTTTCCTCAGATACCCACTATCTCTTTTCCATGCGTATTTAAAGGCCTTGAGGAAATCAAAATGCAGGTATGACTGAGCACCTGCAGCGTAGCCTGGTAAGAAGGAAGAATAAATAAGGAAACAAGCAAACAACCTGGATCAGGTGTTAGCTGAGGGGATAGAAACATGGGTTCATGGTAGAGACACATTTCAAGGCTGTCAGCCTTTGGAACGCTACCTAAGTGTCATACGCAGCAGCACCATTCCAGTGGTTTTATTATTAGTAGTATTTACTTGCTTACTTACTTATTTATATTTCAGATTTAGATACCGCCCATCTCACAAAAAGTGACTCTACTAGTAATGACTACTAGTAGTAGTATTAGTACTGGTCACACAGTCAGCCAGTTGTTCAGACTTGTCAGGCCTAGCCCAAAGAACTCCTGGAGACCATGCAGGTTCAATCAGCAAGGTTTATTAGCCAGCGCCTGTTTACAGGAAT